TTTCGCATGATCAATTTGGGTGGTGGTGGTCATTCTCGAAATCTCCTCTATCGCTGGGGTTGCATAAACTGGTTTGGTGGGAGAAAACCGGCTCTCTCGGGGGCTCCTAATCAATTTAACCACTCCAATCGATTTGAGCCAAAAAATAATTTGTTTGGAAAATAACTTAAAAGCGGATAAACGTGAATTAAAAATTTCCTATGAATTTAAGGTAAACAAATTAAAGAAAATTGGCCAAAGTGAGAATTATTTTAATTAAAATGTAAATAATAAAAGTAAAACTAAAAGACTTTCAAAAGTATATACTTAACAAATAGATAAAATATGTAATTTATATATGTAATTAAATATTACATATTTATTGTTATTAATAAGATTAATTTATCCATACTTTTTCTCTTTATCCCACATTTATTTCGCCAATTCTATTGCCATGATGACCTCAATGTTTGGATTTTGGGGGAGGATAGAATAGAATTCGCTGTTTTCTTGGGGGCCAGAGGAAATAAGGTCGCCAGGGCCTTAATAGCGCTGCTTTCCAGTGTTTGCACAAAGATAAAAACCAGAAACTTTATAGCCAGCCGCAGCGAAATAGATAAAAATGGAAATAATCAAGCGAAAGCGCGACTAGGCTGTGATTTATGCGATATCGTAGTGTCGTAGAACCGTAGAACCGTAAGGCTTCGATAAGGCACGCACCCCAAATGCGCCAAATTCCCTCGATTCCGGGTAAAAACTGCATTCGGCTGAATCGACCTTTCGCTGCTCTTGGGGAAATGCAGTTTCTTCGGGTTTCGAGTGCAAACAGTGGCGGCAAAAAGGAGGGAAAAATGTGAATCACGATGACGACGAGGACGGCGTCGGCTGACGCGCCAAAAACTGATAAGACAACAAAGAAAATCACATGTGAAAGTAGGGAAAAGGAAAATCTCGAGGCGGCAAAAGGTGTTCGCTGCGCCGGCGAGCACTCGCCAGATAAATTGTGAAACGGAAATGAAACACCTACGCAAATAGTGAAAACGAAGCGCAGACACAGCCGCAAACAAGCAACATCCTAATTTAGATAAGAGCCGTTTTACGACCCCCGAAGAAAGTAATTCCGATCCTTAAACCCATATATATCCGTATATCCGCAGCGCTCTAATTAATGCAGCGTCCCGCTCGCCATCACCCTTTCCTTTCCTTTCGACCCATTTGCTCTAGTTTCGCCGTCACCTTTGCTTAATGTACATATAGTATACACCTCATATATGTACCTTTATCGGCGGACTGGATGCTGGACTGCTGGACTGCCGGGATGCGGTTCTTTTGGGCCATTGTCTGCGTGGCAGGGGCGGCCATAAAATTGGCATTGTTTTCTATGGTAAACACGCGCGCAATGTGGTCGTAAAACAAAAGACGCTTTTATGGTTACGCTCATTACGGCACACGCAGTGCAAAGACCTAGATACACACGCAGCTACAGATACGGATACCGATACATAGACCTATGTCGAAATACCCGAGAGATACACCTTAAAATTCTTAAAGTGCGATAAAATTGAAAATTTTAATAATTAAAGTCCTAAGAAAATTATATTGGTCTCCTAAACGAATTGACACATCAACTCTTTGAGAAATAGAAAAGAAAAAAATTCTATATACAAGATCCTAAATTATTTGATATAATTTTTAAACTAATTTCTCAAAAAAAACACTTAAACCTTTATAAATAAAAGTGATTTATACAAGAACTGTTTACCAAAATGCAGGAATTCAAAGATATAACATTTAATAAGTTAATAAAAAATACTTAAGCGCACAGAATAACATTTTCTTAATCAATTTCATGGAAAAGTTAATGCAAATTAGTTCAAAGCAGCCGAAAAACAATACAAATGCCAACACAAAACCGGCTAGTCTACATATTGAATGAAATAAACAAGATTTTGAGTTTCCTAATTGACGGAAATCCCTCTAACTTTTTTAATTTCTTGCCTGAGAATAACCGCTAAAACTCATTATAGATTAAAGGCATTTAATTATTCCAAAAAGACTGCAAGATCTCGATTTGTTTGCGCTGCACATTAGAACGTTGTGATCATCTGTTGCCAAAGGTTGCAAATGATTAAATAATCACTAATGAGCCCCGATAATTGGGTTAAGCCAAAAAATACAAAACAAATAAAGCGACGAAAAACCGTTTAAACGACATTGATGCTCATCGACGTGTCGGCTGTCCGTTGGCTTCGATTCATATGTGGCCGGGTATTTTAATTTGTGTGAAAATATTGTACAAACAAATAAATCAACAATAACAAATAATAACAATAAAAATAAATATTATACATATTATGGCAATACACCGAGATATAGATATAGATACAGCAGGGAAATGGACGTCATCTATCTGAGAAATGTTGGTCAAATGGTTTTGATAGATATATATGTGTATAATTTTGTAAAGTCATTGCCACACGGCGCATGCGTCACACAAATGCTTAAAACAAACAGAAAGCGCAGCGTTTTAAAGCCATATCAACAGCGAACACTCAACACACAGCTCCACCAACAAAATCAAAACAAAAGCGGGAAAAAAGTAGCAAAGCAAATATTTTCCATAAATATCCATCTGGTGAATGTGAATGCATGAGGGCGTTTTGGGGGGCGCCTGCAATTGAAACTAATTAAAAAGTTTGAGCATGGCTTAGACCCGATTTCGCTGAACTGCCGAGTGCAGCCGAACTGTATCAAAAAGCCAACCAAACCGAATCTGAATCCGAATCCGAATACGAATCCGCATCCGAATCTGAATCTGAAACCGACCTACAGTGGCGCGCTTTTAAAGCAAATAAATAAATAGATAAATGACTAAAAGGTAAATAAATACACATTTTTGGACTGCCTGGCATTACTATTTGCAGAGAGTCTACGCCAAAAAAAGCACACATTTGATGCGCTCTGAACAAATGCCCACACCGCCCGCACCGCAAACATTAATGAGCCAAAGCCACTTGAATTGCCTGTGAAATACAATAAAAATATTAAATATTTAAGCACATTACGGTTATTAGAAGTGCACATAAAGACTTGGATACATATGTGTTCAGTCACCTAAAGTGTTTGGTGTTTGATGATCATGATGATGGGATATAGATATCCGAATGGCAGGCCAAACAGTGTTGAAAGGGAAAATGTTTTGAAGAATGTTGTTTTCTGATTCATTTATCTTTCTATCTTATCTCTATCATGATAATTATTGTATTATTCAGACAATTTGATGATAATCATGGAAGTGATAAAATTATCTGTGAGTAGTGCTTATGTAAATCGGAAATGGTTTCATTTGACAAGATCATGAGTCATTAGAACTGCCCACAAATAAGGTGATCTTGATATTATACTTCATGCTACTGAGATGCCTTCTGTAAATACTTTTAAATGTATTTATATATCATAGATGCCTGATTTATTTGTCGTATTTATAAATAGTGTATCCCCACTTTCCTTTCCATAATTAGTTATTAAATTTTATTTCAAAACAAAACGGAAATACTCATTATAATTAGTTTGTTGAGATTTACTAATTGGTTTACAAGAAAACTAATATAAACACCAATACATTCAAAAGATCACATTCAAACCAATTTATTCAGAACTTATATAATTTGTAGACCATGCGCCTAAATGTAGACTATAAAATTGTTCGAGGAAATGGAAGTGCTGCATTGACAAATGGAAATGTAATGCGGAAAATCCCCGTACTTCTGACTACTCAGGTATTTCTTAATTGAGCAAAAACTTTCATTGAGAAACGAGACAATTGTCCTTTTATGGCCGCCATAATGAGCCTGGCTCACACACACAGTCACAAATGTACACACACACACATAGGCACGGATACACTTGGCCAAACGAAAGGGTTAAGCGGAATATGCACAACGAAAGGCGTCTATGGTTTATGGCCCGAAAATTGGAATGCGTTTTATCCGTGGCCATAAACGTGGACGGATGGAAGGAAGCCAGGATACCAGGAAGTTTTCCGCCAGCACGCGCTATCAATGAATATATTTTTGTTTGGGTTTTTCAGGTAGGATACGAGATTTTCAGCTGAGATGTGAGCAGAAAAGAGGAAGAGGATGCAGAACTGGGTCACTTTCGCAATGACTTGCCAAAAAGGAGAACTGCGCCGCTGTTCTGATGTTTTGCTGCTGCCGCTCGCGATGCCTCGCCACGAATGCGAATGGGAATGAATGAGAGTGACATTGGCATACCTTAACCTCAAAAAAAAAGAACAGATACGAAAGGCAGGGAATACGAACAAAAAAACTGACAGAAAAAATCCACACACACAGATATTATTAAATGTCTTCTTTGTGGGAGCCAAAAGCCAAGGCTTCGTTCTTTTGGTTTCGCTTCTCTCGAAAAACAGAGCGTCGCATTCTCAGTCCAGTCTCCCACCAGAGATTCCGATTCCGATTCCGTCTCCAGACCTCGTCTATAGGGGTTTTTTCTTTCCATTTTTTTTAGATAGAACGAGAGCGAGCGATTATTGATCGCATTAGGGAAAATCGTTAACTGTAACATGGCGTCGCTCAGCATTAGACTTCTGCCTGTGTATCTGTATCTCTCGGCCTGCGTATCTGTATCTCTGAGGGTGTGTGAGTGGAGGGCGTTGCTCAGTGCTCGATTGGCCACGCCCCCTTCGAGGTTAGTTGCCTGGCAACCGAAAACTCAATTCTCGGCTCTGTTGATACAAGAGGCCGAGTTAGCCAATGCGCTTGCGCCGAGCAACCACTGTGTACGTAAGAGAACCGCCGCTTGTCATTGGTAACTCCGTTTGGCCGGTGGTGAGACACACCTATACCACCGGGCCATTGGTGAGAGCGAGTAGGAGTTGTTTCCGCCGCCTCAGTCGCTCTGCCTCAGCCGCAGTCGACGTCGGCAGCGGGGCACTTGAGCGCGGCTCGAACAATATTTGTTGGCAGCAAGCGCAAGCCAAATAGTAGACAAGCGTTCCCCTCTGCAAACAGTCACATTCAAGAGCTCAAGCCAAAGAGACACTCGAGCGGACCAGCAGCAGCCAAAGCAGCAATAGCATCCAGCAAAGCAGCAAAAGCAAAAGCAGCAGCAGCAAAAGCAGCAGCACAGCACCAGCGATTCCCAGCTTCAGACTTCAGTGGCCAACAGAACAGCCAGCTAAATATCCACGTTCGTGCGTCGGTTTTTTGTGGCCGGTCGGTGCGGCAGACAACAAATAGAGAAATCAAATCAAATCCAAATAAAATCTAAAGAATCATAACAAAAATACACATATATATTTTACAATTAAATCGCAGTGTTTACCAACAAAGCTTAGAACTTACCCAAAAAAAAAAAGAAAGAGAAACCCAAGTGACAAGTGCAGAAAGTGCCCTCGATAAAATGCCCGAAATATGCATGCAATCAATTGAAGCAGTGTTAGTGAAGCACTGAAAACAAAAGTCTCAAGCCAGCTAAAACCAAGTTTTTACGCAAGAACTCCTTTTTAATTTTTCGTTTTTACTAACGCGTTGCCACAACGCGTTGCCTTTTCCATCGATCCACCAGTGGGCAGCGCGTCCGAAAGCCGGCAACATAACGGCGCAACTATTGAACAGCTTTCTGAAGGGTAGCCCCCACCAGACCACCATTGACATCATGCAGAAGCTCTACGCGGAGCCTCCGCCGAGCAGTGCTCCGGTGAGCATGGCCAGCTCCGGAGGTCCTCCGTCGGGCGGAGGAGGAGGTGGCGGAGGAGGAGGACCACCTCCGCCCTCTAACAACAATCCCAATCCGACGAGCAACGGTGGGAGCATGAGCCCCTTGGCCCGTTCCGCCTACACAATGAACAGCATGGGCCTGCCGGTGGGAGGCATGTCCTCCGTCTCTCCCCAGGCGGCGGCCACCTTCAGCTCCAGCGTTCTGGACTCCGCTGCAGCGGTGGCCAGCATGAGTGCCAGCATGAGCGCCAGCATGAACGCGAGCATGAACGGCAGCATGGGTGCGGCGGCCATGAACTCGATGGGCGGCAACTGCATGACCCCCAGTTCGATGAGCTATGCCAGCATGGGATCGCCGCTGGGAAACATGGGCGGCTGCATGGCCATGTCGGCGGCCAGCATGTCGGCGGCGGGTCTGAGCGGCACCTATGGAGCCATGCCGCCGGGATCGCGGGAAATGGAGACGGGTTCGCCGAATTCCCTGGGCAGATCACGGGTGGACAAGCCCACCACCTACCGGAGAAGCTATACGCATGCCAAGCCGCCCTATAGCTACATCTCGCTGATCACCATGGCCATACAGAATAATCCCACCAGGATGCTGACCCTGTCGGAGATCTACCAGTTCATCATGGATCTGTTTCCGTTCTACAGGCAGAATCAGCAGCGCTGGCAGAACTCCATCCGGCACTCGCTGAGCTTCAACGATTGCTTCGTGAAGATCCCGCGGACGCCAGACAAGCCGGGAAAGGGTTCGTTTTGGACCCTGCATCCGGATTCGGGGAACATGTTCGAGAATGGCTGCTATCTGAGGAGACAGAAGCGTTTTAAGGACGAGAAGAAGGAGGCCATCAGGCAGCTGCACAAGAGCCCATCGCACAGTAGCTTGGAGGCCACCAGTCCGGGGAAGAAGGATCACGAGGACTCGCACCACATGCACCACCACCACCACAGCCGGCTGGATCACCATCAGCACCACAAGGAGGCGGGCGGCGCTGGCTCCATTGCCGGCGTGAATGTCCTGAGTGCGGCGCACAGCAAGGATGCCGAGGCCCTGGCCATGCTGCATGCCAATGCGGAACTCTGCCTTAGCCAGCAGCCGCAGCACGTGCCCACCCACCATCACCACCAGCACCATCAGCTGCAGCAGGAGGAGCTCTCCGCGATGATGGCGAATCGCTGTCATCCGTCGCTGATCAGCGACTATCACTCGTCGATGCATCCGCTGAAGCAGGAGCCCTCGGGCTACACACCCTCCAGCCACCCGTTCTCCATCAACCGCCTGCTGCCCACCGAGTCGAAGGCGGACATCAAGATGTACGACATGAGCCAGTATGCCGGCTACAATGCCCTCAGTCCGCTGACCAACTCACACGCTGCCTTAGGCCAGGACTCGTACTACCAGAGTCTGGGCTACCATGCGCCTGCCGGCACCACGAGCTTGTGACATCACCAATACCCGCTGGCTTAAGGACGCGCGGAGCAGATGCTGCGCTCGCAGCAGCAGCAGCAGCAACAGCACTTGCAGCAGCAGCAGCAGCACATGCAACACCAGCAGCAACAGCAACAGCAGCAGACGCAGCAGCAGCTGCAGCAGCAACAGCAGCAGCAGGCGGCAGCGCAGCAACTGACATCCGCTTCCAATACACCAGCAACATCATCAGCGGCCAAGGCCAGCGGCAAGGCGGGATCGGGATCGGGTTCAGGATCGGGATCAGGATCAGGATCTAATTACTCTCAGAAACTCCATCAGCAACAGCAGCAGCAACAGCAGCAACACCACCAGGCGCAGCAGCAACAGTTGCTGCAGGAGCTGCAGCAGGAGGACTCCTCGAACATCACCAGCGACCTGAGCGAGGAGCAACTGCAGCAGCATCAGGCGGCGCAGCAGCAGTTGTACAACAACTATCAGCAATATGCCGCCGCGGCGGGCTATCGAAATTGGAACCACAGCCTGACTTTCAATGGGGCCGCCGCCCTGCAGAATCTGCTGTAGCAATAGCTATAGATCCCAGTCCCCAACCCAAATCCCCATCCCAATCTCGACAGGCAGCGGCTTTGTTGCTAGCCAATTAGCGAGTGCAGTGCCAGTGGCTTTTAGCACTTCCACATCCTTTCGAGCACGTGAGTCTTCGGGCCGCAACTCGCACTTGTACATATACATATGCCTCTTCAGTTTTTCACTTCACTTCAGTTCAGTTCCAATACTATATATATATATAGATATATATTATACAAATACCATTCTGTTCCGCGGGGCTATCAAATCGAGAGGAGGAGCGAAAGAAAAAGTGATGTAGTTGTAAGTGCAGCAGAACTTTTGTTAACATTTTTACGTTTTGCTAAATACACAAATACAAAATAACATAATTCCGTGCCATTTGTTTTCGTTGTTTCGAAACAAGCAATAACAATCAAAGCGGTTAAAACTAAAAATTTAAACAAACATTTTAAATGTATCCGAGAGAAAGAGAAGTAGAGATAGATAGAAGGGATCTTGTGTAATGTTCTTTCAGAAAACCAAAACCCCGACTAAAAACAGTCCCAAAAAGAGAGATACAAATACTAAACACCTTTGTCCAAAGGCAATCGCAATCGCAATCGAATTCGAATCGCAAATGATCAAAAACCAAAAAGAAATCTAAAATCGAAACCATCATATTCAGCAGTCCAGCAAACACCCTAAGAATCTTCAAACTATCTAAGCAACAAAAATCTGGCCATGAATAAGGAAACGTCACGTTTTTTACTGAATAATTTATCAAATTCCCATTTATATATATAAAGCGCATCGATATATTGCCGATATATCGCAAAATCCCGCATTTCATTTATTATACATTGTGTGTCTTCTGTTGTTGTACGAATTCGTTAGGGTAAGGCATTTTGTAAATAATCTATAAATAGATAAATTTAAGCACCGACTCCCAAAAGAAACCCAATTTAACTAAGGACCCACTTGCAAGCAAAACAACTTTTAACTAACTCGAGAATTAATCAAATTGTATGAAATTATGCCACACCACTTGAAAATAAACATAATATAAATATAAATATTGTATAGCATTTAACATTTAATTAGCATAAATAATGAAAGCAAAAAAAAAAAATCACATAAAAAGCGAAAAAGAAAAAAACTGCAATTATTATTCAATAATTTTTAATATTAGTTATATTGTGCGTAAAGAGAAATAAAACAACAAAAAAAAGAATGAAATGCAAACACAAAACAAAGACCCATTTTTACATTGAGCTAAGCTAATTAATTAAACTTGATAAAAAATAGTCTAAATATAAAAAACACACACACACACACTGACACTGACACAGAAACAAATGAAAATTATTGTAAAATACACAATACAAAAATTCAATAAATGTCAATGCAAGAATTAAAATCCAACTCTAAAGCTAGTAAAAATTAATATTATTATAAATCATGCAAAACAAACACAACGTCAACGACAACCAAAATCGACTATTTTAATGTTTGAAATACAAGAAAAAGGAAAAAAAAAAAATCATAAATTAGTTTTCATTTCCCAAACGAACGCGACCATCATTGTTGACTTAAACAACTGACCTCCAACAATCATTTATATATTGATTGGGGTGGCTGCTTGGGGCCTATCTACCCATCGACGATATCGCCTATATCAATGCAGCGAATTCGAATTGAACGACCGATAGCTGAGGAGTTCCAGGAGTCGCTATCTTATCGCAGTCACTCAGATGCAGAGTGCAGTTTTCCACTACTACTACTACTCCGTATATCTATATAGTAGATGTGCACCGATGATAAACCCTTATCGCAGCGCACTCATAAATTGCAACGGAACAAGAAGGTAAACAACGGCCAGGATGGGACATGGGTCCCGTCCCGGACCTGACATACTGACTAACCCATCTCAGCCCAACCCAACCCAACACCTATCCCTCCTATTCCTCTTTTTTTCCGTAATCAGGGAGGGAAGTCTTCCATTTCTGTTTCCACTCTGTTTACTTTCTAGTAATATTCATGGAGCAGTTCGACTCGTCGTCTATGAGTACCTTCCCTATCGTGGACCTTATCTCCGCCATATAAACATCGCACAGAGCCTGATCCTACGCAATTCCCCCTAGCGAACCAGTTAACCATCCACCTTTGATTAACATCGGTGTGATTCATTTGGAGTAATGAAGAATCTACGCTTCTCGGACATTCCGTCGGCATTATATTTTAGAATTCACTTATCTTTTTGAGCTGAGGGGGCATGTTTGACAAGCTGTTGTCATTTTTAATTAAGCAGGAAGGTCACACAGAATTTCTCTATATATCTTTAAACGACATTTTATTTATACATGTGCATGTGGGGGCGACTGACTGGCTTTAATACATTTTTTATAGCCCAAGAGCTGTTCCATAAAGAGTTCGCTTTGTTGTTCTGCAGACGGGGGTTTGAAAAGGTTTCCTAAAAAGCGAAAAAGCGACAACAAAATGGCGCTTCGTTTGTTGTCGCTTCAATTTCGATTTTTCCTTGACATTGTGACTGTCAGCGGCGTTCTGGCGGAGTTTCTTCATTTTACCCCGGCTGGCAAACAACCCCATCTGGACTGGCTTAGGAAATCTGTGTTTTGGGGTTGGTTCGGCTAAACTGACAACCACCCAACCGCCCGAATACCACCCCAAACCACCCGACCACCCACTCGAACCCCCCACAATTTATATATCGATGCCTTAATGCCAGACATGCGCGCTAAAGACGCTCCAGAGTTTGTTGAGCTCTCTAGACAAGGCGGCCCAGCTATATTTCATATTCCATATCTATATCTACTCATAAATGGCCCGCCGCCGCCGTTGCCATCAATTTGCAATTATTTTAGCCGGGGACAGATTTAAAATTCTATTTCCACAAACAAGTTGAGGATAAACTCCCTCTCTCTCTTACAAAACAAAACCATTTGGAAATTGGCAAATAGGAAAAAATTTGTCATGACATTTGCCTGGTCATTAAAAATGGATGATTGCCACAGTTCCGGGGAAGTCATCGCATGTCTGTGAACCCCCTATTTCAATTTTATGCATGAGGCATGCCTTTATTTGATAAAATATATTATTTACACAAGCAAAAATTTACCAAAAATACCAAGTTTAAATTGAATTCAGAGATGAAAGTTTCCGACTCCTTTATAAAGCAACCAAAATTCAGTTTTCCCGCAGCCAGAGATTGTGGCAACAAAGTTGAATTCAGTTGAGTTTCTGACCAAAAGCCCTGACTGCTGTGTTGCTGCTAATAAAGAACCACAATCTTGTAGTAATTTTCTAATGGAATATTTAATTTTAAAACGAGACACAGGCAAAAGCGGAGGAGAATCTCTGGGAAGCGTAGAAAAAGCGGTCGGGCAACCCTTTTTTCCTCAGCTTATGCCGGATGGATACACAGGAAGTAGTGCCTTTGCTATCCTCCGAGCTCCATCATCCATTCTCCTGTTTCGCCGAACACCAAGGCACTCAAAGACAGCGCAAGTACACTGGGAAAAAATTAAGCATTCTTGATAAGTATTAAGTTTAGGGTGTTAAGAAGCGTGTTTTTAAAAACGTTAGACAATTGTTGGTCTTGAATTAGTAAACATTTCTTTTGAAAAGTAAAAAAATAAGATATGTTATATCTTCAATAGTTATTTCAATTTTCATATTTTATATTTTTAAGCCCATATTTAAATTCAAATACTGAGTTCTTAATTATTTTTTTTAACTATCGGTAAAATAGAATAAAATCATAATGACGGCATGAAAATGAATGTTCGTAGCAGCAATGAAGAAAAGTAGATTACTTAATGGTAATGATATTACGGTAAAAAGAAGTATACCTCATACATTGTAAAAGTTTAAAATAATTTTCGATTGTTTTCTCAGTGTAGCAATCTCGTGGGTTGGAGCTTGTAGAAATGGAGGATGTAGTCGTGGATGTCGCTGCAGGGGCAGCACTCGCTTGGTTGGCTGGCTGGCTGGATGGTTCGGGCTCTCTACGTGGACCCCCATGGACCCTCTCCCCTATTCTTTGCTACCCTGAACCCGCCTCTCCACTCGCTTTGTGCACTGCTTTTTCATTATAATAATACTTTGTAATTAGGTTTTCGAAAGTTAATTAAAATTCGGTTATGAAAGCGGAAACTTTCTCATGAACGCTTCCGGTTATAAAAACGCATGATGGCGGATGGTTTGAGTCTGCTGGTGGTGGGGTATTTTGTGGGGGTTTTTGGGCCCTGTGGATGGGGTTACCCGGTTAGGCAAATGGAAAACGCAAAAAAAAGGGAGAAAAGAATGAAAGAAAAAAGGATTTTCGGGCTACAGTTGTAAGAGCTGCAGAGACAGACAGGGAATAAAAGATGGAAATGTGGGGGTTTCATTTTCGGTAGCAGGAAAAAGGAAAAGGGACACGCTGAACATGCAGACAACGGACTCAACGCTCTTCGCTCTCAACTTTGTTTCGAGAAAATTTTTGTGCAAACATTTCTGTGAAATTAAAAAATACATATTATATTTTAATGAGCAAAATGGCTGCCACTGTTGTCACGTTTAATGCCATCCAGCCAGCCGCGCCCAGAACGCAAGGTTGTCGGCTGTCGTTTGTCGGTTGTCGTTGGCCATTGCCAGCATTGCGAACGGGATAATTAAAATGATGACTTGAAAATAAATTGCTGTTATCTCTGACCAACAGGCTACAGGCTACGGACTACAGAGAACGTGAACCGAACCCCACCCAAAACCGTTGCCGGTTGTCGATGACACGTCGATGTCGACAGCGCCCCATCATTATGAAGTGGGTTGGGATTGGGGGTGGCTGTTTCCGTTGGCGAATGTCCTCAGTGTCCTTTCAGCGGGTCTGTATGCTGTGTGTGTGCTCTATCAGCGCCTGCCGCTGTTGCGTGCTTGAGAACGACACTTACGGATTAGGCCAGCAACATCAGCAGCATCAGCAGCAGCGGCAACTGAAACAGCAACATCTGATGTCCTTTTTGCCGCTGCAGCCTGTTTTGTTCTCTTGCTTGCTGCATTGTTTATCTAAAACATTCCACACATAATTAGCAGCAAAGCTCTGCAGCTCTCGGTGCTCCACACCCTCTTTTTTTCCTTTTCTAGCTCGCAAATTGAAATTAATCCGCGAAACCTTACGCTCGCAAATGCGGGCACGTGTTCCTTGGACCAAAAGTCCTGACACGCGTCGTCCTTCTCCACCTTTTCTTGTCGGCAATCAAAACATTACAAATCTCTATGGGTTGAGTGTGAAATCTGCTGGGCATTATCTAAGTTTTTTGGCTGCCATACGTTTTGCCCCGATATCTTGGGCTATATCTCTGATGATGGCCGGCAAAACAGCGGGCTTAGCTGCAACGTCAACGCATTAATCACGTTTCGGCAGGGGGAGATGGGTGGTTGCCCATTTGTGGTTGGTGGGTGGATAGGTGGCTGGATCCGATGGTGTGACAGTGACTGATGTGCAGGAAAGGGCGGGCTTTGGGGGGCAGCTTATCGATTGGCAGTTCGAACACACCTTTATCGTGGAGCAGCAGCCCATTCGATTGGATGAAATTTCAGACGACCACATGGGATGGCATCTAATAATCAAATTGCGTTTTGACAGGGTATATGGTATTGGCTGGTGGGGGGTTAGAGAACTCATTAGGAGCCCGAGTATGATGAATGGCCAACGGCGGAAAGTCTTATTGAGAAATGGTTAAAGAGCCATTCGGTTTCAGCTGTGAAAAAGTAACCGGAAAATTAAATCGATATTCCAACTGAATGAATGAATGAATGCTCCTCCGCATCCTGGTTGATTATTTATTTTTGTTTTAATTAAAACTCGCACGAAATGCACTTGCGATGTTTTCCATTTAAATGCAATTAAGTTAATGCCCGTCCGGGCGTCATTATCACAAACGGTTGGGAAAACATATACATTTAGCATTTGGCAAAAATCAAATCAAAATCTCGTATTAAATTAATTCGATTTGTTTGAAAATGTATTTGCATACGCAGGCGAAATTAATGTGATACGGTGAGGGGGAGTTGGGAGTGTGGGCGTGGCAGCTGGACCATCCGCTTCCGGTTTGCGAATAGTGGACAGCGGAAACGGACATGGTCA